CTCGGGAATCTGCCTCTACCTAGGAAAAAGCGGTAGAGAGCGCTGCGGGAGTTGGCGCTCCGGACTGAGCAGCTGTTGGGTTAGGCGTTTGTAGCTGGGCTTTGGGAATGAAGCCCAAGACTCCCAGGTGGAACCCAGAACTGCGAAAACATTACAAAGTGCCCCAGTCACCTGAATCGCGCAAAGAAAATCAGCTTTCCAGGTTTTCACTCGGTGAAAGCCTCTTTCCTCCTTCGTGCATAATGGGCCCTTTCAAAGTAAATATGTAAACGGAACAAACCACCACAAAGCCCCTTATATTCTTCTCATTTAATTATTTGTTTTTAAAATAACGAGGGGGGGGAGAGAGAGAGGGAGGGAGGGAAGGAGAGAGAGAGAGAGAGAGAGAGAGAGAGAGAGAGAGAGAGAGAGAGAGAGGACACTGAAGAACTGACCTGGGACATGATTAGACAAGCAAAGGAGTAACTAAAAATTCATGGGAGCGGGGTGGGGAAACTAAGGAGATTTCCAGTTGAACAATTTGTTCTCTATTTCCAGGCAATGCTTTGGGGGGTATTTTCAGATTGTTTTTCTTGGTGGCTGGAATTTTATTTTTTAAGCTCCTGATGTATAATCTTTAAGAGGAATTGAATAGAGAAGTGGCAAGTCAACCCAAAGCAACCTCACCCTTAGAACTCTGAGTCAGACTTGCCATGGCACTGGTCATGTTCTGATCTTGATCTTGATGTGACTTGACCAGCATCACACACATGGATCCTTAGGTCCTCAAGCACTTATTCATTCTATGTAAGCCTTTTCTTTCCCAGATATTGAGGAAGAGTGTTCTGCTTTTATACTCTGGAATAAATAGACCTTAGTGAACCCCCAAATGTCATTAAGTGGCATCTAGAAAGAGGGATGCTCCTCACTTTCCAGGTCTGCAGAGGAGAGCTCAGGCGTACCATGAGTTTTGTTTTTACACAGTGTAGTTACAGCTGACATAATTGGAGAATGAAATGTGGAATTTAGAAAATGAAAGGTAGCATAGGGAGGTTTTCCCCCTTGTCAGATTTCTAAAAACGTATATTAGGAAAATGTATGCATTTTCAAGTTAAAATTGAACTGCATGGGTATTTTCAAACCCCCTTACTGCTTGCTAGATTGATGGCTGGAGAAAACAAAACAAAAATATGAGGGCTGCAGTCTGAGCTGTCCAAAGTTCAATGAACCAAGCTAGACTGGGAGCTAAAAAGATAAAACATTAGTGCAGTGGTTCTCAACCTTCCTAATGCTGCGACACTTTAATACAGTTCCTCATGTTGTAGTGACCCCAACCATAAAATTATTTTCATTGTTACTCCATAACTGTAATTTTGCTACTGCTATGTCTTAGGCGACCCCTGTGAAAGGGTCGTTTGACCCCCAAAGGGGTCGCAACCCACAGGTTGAGAACTGCTGCATTAGTGGAACCATAATGGCTGCAAACTTAACTATCTGGAAGGGAAAAAAACAATGTTTAAAGTAATCTATTATTAAATGATTTTTGAATAGAACAGGATCATTAACAGAAAATAAAATTTGCATAAATGGCTACTTTAAAAAAACCTTGTATCTCCTCAAATGGATTCTATTTCTAATTAGGAAGTTGGAAGATCTTACAAATTGTTTTATTTTATTATATTCTTACTTTCATGAGTTTCTATTGATGCTAATTATCTTATTTGGGAAAATCTTATTTCTAAATTTCAGCATAATTTAATTACACATTTAGCTCAAGATAGCCTACAAATAATCACCTTTCTGCACATATTTATCTTGAAGTAACTAAACATTATCTTAACTACATCTAGTTGCAAAACACATTTTACTACAACTCAAATAAACAATTAACATTTAATTTTGGAAGTAAAATACTTTTTACAACTTTAGTAAACATCTAATAAATAAATTAATCAATTTTATCTTTTCAGTGAGTTTTCCCCCTTGACACATTGAGGTATCACATTAAAATACATTATAACTAAATGTTCTACAATATTACTTCTAAATCAACAGAAAACCAATTGGTCTTGAAGAAAGGTTAATTAATTTGGGCTACAGGTCTCCTCCTACTTTAGTTTACATCGAAAGGAATTTGTGTTGATTAAAGAAGTTTTTAATAAAGAAATTTAAAAAGCATTTTTGTCGAATTGAGTTCAACTTTTTAAGTGCCAAAACAATAAGCTAAAATTTTATTTAATAAGCATTTTCATGGAATTGAGATCAATTTTTTAAATGTGCCAGAACAATGAGGTAAAGTTTTGTCCCTCTAGGAATACTTTTGTACTATGGCTCATTCAAGTCTGTTAAAGTCTGGGGAGTGGGGGGGTACCCATACGCGCACGCACGCGCGCACGCACACACAACAACCGTTTTTTATACTTTCAGTGAAATCAGTTGGGTATCTAGCTTGCAGAAAACGAAAACAGAACTTTAATAGAATTTTGTTTATTTAATCCCTCCTCCCATAATAATTCTCACCAGTTTATTCTGCTATAAGGGGGTCACGGAGGGACAATGTAAATTAAATTTCATCCTTGATTTAAACACTGTATTTGCCATTATGTAGAAATCAGACTGAGCTGCCCTTTACTTGGGAACATTTCTAAGTTGTGTAGTTTCTACTGAATAGAACTGGTGAGCTTTTCTTCTTCCTTATCTATGTTGTCTTCTTGTTTTATCAATTTAAAAAAAATGTTTCAGGCCTGGAACAAGGTGAAAGTAACATTTTAAGTTTCCTCCCGGGCACTATACTCACTCCCAAAACATTTTTCTTTCTTTCTAAAAGTGTTTGCTCGGTGGTGTTGTCAGTGGATCGGATGGCCTCCGGAGCTTTGCACTTGGGTGTGTTGCAAGGTTTTTCCTTCTCACCCCCTCCCTCCCTCCTCCTCTGGAGACCCCTCCCCCACCTCGGGTGAAATTCCTAAATAAAGCGAGCCTGGTGGACCTCGGCTGAGCAGCCAGCATCCCCTTTCTGGCCAGGGTCTGCAGAGGTGAAGAAGTATAGAAACTCCACAACGAAAAGGGGGAGGACGTCGCTGGAAGGTGGTGTGCTCGAGGAGGGTCTCAGCACTCCCTTGGAACTACAGATGTTTTCCTCCTGGCTCCGGGGCACGGCGCCCCAGCCCAGAGCGTTCAGGCGTTTGTGTGTCTGGGTTTCCGAGGAAAGGATTACGCAGCGGGAGTGGCGCAGCAACGCAGGGCATTGGGGCCGCAGGAGCCGTAAGGAGGAGCCTGGCCTTCTTTGTTGACTTTTAGGTCTTAGACTCAACAGAAGATTTATTCGCTAGGAGGGGGAAAAGCCCAAACAATGAGAAACTAACTGCACTTGTCACCTCGAGATGCTTGCGGTCCCGCTCTGCCTTCCTTTCCCGGCAACCGGTCGCCCAGGCCCCAGCCTGCGGGGGGGACAGACCGCAATGTCCAGAGGTGGCAGAGTGTGCGGAAAGTACCCAGAGGTGCTGTACTGCCCAGAGGTGGCAGAAAACCAAGGGAGAAACTCCCGAAATGAGACCTGCTCCTTGCGATTCACCAGTCTAGCTTCTTGGGCAGGTCTCCAAAGTGGCCTTGGGCCTTAAGCCCGAGGCTTTCGCCCCCGCAAGCCCATAAAAAGTTTCTGCCCAGTACGAGAGCGCGAGAGCGCGAGCTAAGGCCAACCTAAGCCCAGTGGGTGAACACAAGACACTGATATTGTTAATACGTTAGAGAGAGGGAAGGGAACATCTCGGTGGGGAACGCAAAAAAGACGATTTAGTTTCAGTGTGGTCGGGTAAAATTTCAAGGCGTAAACTCACGTCATTACATTTGGAATTCAAAATTGCCGACGTTTATTTACCTGCCATCTAAATATAAATAAATGTTGGCACTGCAATCTTTATCCTCTCTGAATCTTTAATGTCCTCCCCAGGCCTCCAAATTAGGTTTTGAAATTACTCAGACCAGTACTTTCCCTTTCTTCCTTTCAGTAGCAGAGGTTAGAGCAGGGGTTTGGGATTTCTGGATTTTCCTCAAGTGCTACATGGCACCCCTTCTCTCATCTGGGAAGGCAATTAGGGGACAATTAAGGGACTCACACAGTTCTTTTTATCTTGTCCTCGGTGTGGAGTGGGGCGATCAAAGTAAAGGCTGTCCAAGTTCATGCCCTGGCAAGGATGGAGTTCATACACAAGGGCTCAGGCAAGCCAGCCTCTGCTTGGGCTGGTGGCGTTATTGTTGATGTCAATCCTAACAAGACTTACAAAGAAATAGGTGGACTGGAAAGTGAGCCTACTATCAAAGGAGATTAATGATTTTGTGATCTCAAGCAACTGTAGGGGTGTGAAGTTGCATTTAAAAGCTTCTTAGGAGGCAAACAAATCATCAGCTTTAAGTTCTCTGGAATGATATTTTTAGAAACAATATATTTCAAATATCTTCCCACAACACAAAATAGCAGCTGGTGAAATGTCCTGATGGCACAAAGCTTTCCCTGCAGGAGTGAATTAACTGGCTTCCCTTGTTCCCTCCAAAGCTACCATGATGGTTAAGTTTTCTTTTCTCTTTTTATATAAAGAGGGTTCAGGATACTCTGTTGTAGACAACTTAATTTTAACAGCTTCATCTGATATTTTATTCTCACTCAAATACTTCTTAGAGATAAATGACATATTGGGAAAAATAGTTAAATTAATAGTATTTGATTTCATTGTGGAAAGGCTCAAAGGAAACATGTCCAAAATTGAAGTAAACATTACTGGGAATAAGGAATCTTAATCTCAATTCTTGGGATATTCAATCAATTTATCTATCCAGTTTTACTGAATTTCTTTAACCTTTTTTTTTTTTTTTTACTAACTACATGTTCATATAAAAAACATAAACAGTTTTGTTTAGATTATTTTCCTTTTTTTTCATTTATATTCAGTGCCAGACTCTGAAAAATGTCATATTCAGAATACCTATTTTGGATTTAATTAAGGAAAATAACAAAAATCCTTTTTTTGTTGTTAACATTTGATTTATTTAAAGTCCTTAACTGCAAATGATCAAGAACATATTCCACGGCTTAAAATTTATTATTTTCTTTACGTAAATCAAAATATTTTAATTACAATCACATTGATAAAAATTAACATTTTAATTTGTATTTTTAACCATCATTTAAAGCAATTTCAACTGTAAAGAAAAAAAGAATAAACCATGCAATAAATTAACATTGAGAAAGCAAAGAGAAATAATAATGAAACCCGTCTGACTATACTAACACCATGTCCAACTGTGAAAAGTGCATTAACACTGAATGAACAAGCACACGATGACAATAATTAAAATTCCCACAATCAATTGGATTTTGGAATCTTGAACCAAATTTTGAAATACGGCCCCCTATAACATCTCTCCTCCAACATTGTAATATTCCCTTTCTTTTTCTGGAGAAAAATATTCTTTAAATGGTATAGATACATAGAAGCTAATTTTATACATGTTATGTGACCTCAGAATGACATGACTATGGCACTCTGCAAAGCAAGGAGCAGAGTTAGAAAAGGACAATTCTTGAGGAATTGATTCCCAGGGCTATCTGTGGGTAGAGAGGACAAGGAGTGGGTATCTTTGTAACTTCTTGGTCAGGCAACTCTGGAAAATGTAGCATGTAGACCACCTGCCACCTCTATGTGTTATGTAAATATATGGAGGATGTCTACATATCTGAGCGTGTGCATAAATAAGTCAGTACATAATACATATGTATTTCATTTTAAGTATTTCATTTTAAGACATCTGCTATCTGAATGTATCGGAAATGTAAGCTGAAAAACAAATGGCTCTGATGTTTATAATCTATTTCTGTTTTGCTGCATAATAGCAGTATTGTCCTTCAATACTTTTAACTTGCCCATAGTGTCTACTTGTTTCTTCGCCCTTTCAGTTCTTATGGTTAAGAGTATTGCCATAGACCTGTAAACTTGTGTGTGGTGGGGGAGCAGGGGAGGAGGGGGGAAAAGTACAAACAAATATTTTACAAGCTTGACCATCTTTCCTTTTTTAAATAAAACCTGCACACACTAGAATGTGTCTGGAGGGGAAAGAGGAAAGAAAGGGAGAGAGATAAAGGAAGTGGGAAGATTTTATATATACACTTGTGGATCATTAAACTTTGCAGGGAAAAATTCTGTTGGTTTGGGGTTGGTTTTCTTCCTAATAATATACACAAGGCATTTGAATAACAACCAAGTAACAGTCCTTTGCACTGGGAATAAGATTGTGCACACACACACAAAGAAATAAAAATAGTTGGTATTTTATTACGCTGTTGTCGGCTTGGTATGTGTGATTTTATTTGCTGTTTTTTCCCCTCTCCCCCTACCATCATGGTCACAAACAAACCCCTAGTCTAGGAGAGCTAGGAAGTGTTTAGGACAGGTCTGGAATACACACCTTGGTAGTAGGCCGGCTCCAAGGCTGAGGGCTCGATGGGGCTCCTGGTGGCCACCGAGGCGCTGCCCAGCGGCAGGCTGGCAGGCAATGCAGCGCTGTAGGGTGAGTACTGTAGCGCCTGCTCGTATGCCTTGAAGTCCAGCTTGTGCTGCTGATCCGAGGACATGAGGTTGTTGATGGAGAAGGGGTGGTTAAAGGAGTAGTGGGGGTCCCCTTTCAGGTGCAGCTGGGACTCGTGTGGTGCCAGACCATGCACTGGGTGGGATGGGGGCACAGATACCAGAGCCCCAGGACCGGAGCTGATTGGGGGTGCAGCTGAAGAGGCTGGAGTCTTCAACTCCGAGGCGCCCCCTGTCGCTGTTGCCCCGCTGTGGTCCAGAGTCTGGGGGCTGGAGGCGGGCCCTGGGGCCGGTGCGCCCTCTAGCTGGCCGGCCTTACTGTGAACACCCCGATGTAGGGGTGAGTCGCCGCTGCTGTTGGCGGCAGCGGAGGGGTCCTTTCGGCTCTCAGGACCACCCTTGGTACCACCACTGCCCCCGCTCCCGCCCCCCGCCCCTGGCTGCTTCTCGCACTTGAAGCGCTTCTGGCGGCGCAAGTAACAGCCGTTTTCAAACATGTTGCCAGAGTCCGGGTGCAGCGTCCAGTAGGAGCCCTTGCCAGGCTTGTCCGGGGAGCGCGCCACTTTGACGAAGCAGTCGTTGAAGGAGAGCGAGTGGCGGATGGAGTTCTGCCAGCGCTGCTGGTTCTGCCGGTAATAGGGAAAGAGGTCCATGATCCACTGGTAGATCTCACTCAGCGTGAGCATCTTGCTGGGGGCCTGCTGGATGGCCATGGTGATAAGCGAGATGTACGAATAGGGAGGCTTGGCATGCGGGTAGCTGCGCTTGAAAGTCTTGGCATCGCCGCTACCCCCAGCCCGGCTGCGGCCCAGGTTGGACGGCGCATACGCCATGGGGCTCATGCAGGGGTTCATGGCTGCGGCATAGGGGCCCAGACCGTTCATGGAGGCTGCAGGTTGCGCGCCCATGGCGCCCATGCCTCCAGGGCTCAGTGTAGTCCCCATGGCCGTCACACCTGCCGCTGTCATGCTGTTCATGGTCCCCGAGGAGCCCCCAGGCATGCCAGCCACCGTGCCAGGGCTCAGGCCAGCGCCCAGACCTGGGTTTGCGTAGGACATATTGAATGAAGCTGGGGTCATGTTGCCGCTCGTGGTCATGGTGTTCATGGTCATGTAGGTGTTCATGGAATTCATGGAGCCCAGGCCCGAGTTCATGTTGCTGACCGGGACTGAGGAGTAGGCCTGGAGCAGAAAAGTGGGTGAAGAGGCCCCGAAGGGTAGGGTTAGCAGTACTGGAACCCTCAGACAAGAGGAGAGCAGTTCTGCAAAGCATTGGACCCCCTACCCAGGACAAATCATCATGCGCTCTCCCCAGAACGAGCAAAGAGATGCCTTGCATGGCAGGGGAAAAAATCCTAGCAAGCAAAGAGATGCCTTGCATGGCAGGGGAAAAAATCCTAGCGTGGCAGGCATGATAGACATGCGCTCACAGCAAATATCCCCAGGAAGACGTGTAATCACCTTACACAGCCTCACACTCAGGGGCCGGCTTCTGGGGTCCCTCCATCTCTTCTTCCATCCAAGCCAGGTGGCCTCCCAGCCTCCACCCCAGACCCGCCTCCGTAAATTAAGTTCCCCTCTGGTTAAAAGGCGTCAAAACTCCGAAAACGGAATCAATCTCTGACCCCCTGGTTACGCACTCTACCTTAAGTGTGCTGTAGGTTGGCAACAGGGCACCCACTTTGCACCCATCTCACCTAAACCTACCAGGCCGGCTGAGGGCATAGCAGCTTGGGATCTGCGGTGCCTAATAAACTTTCCCTGATAGAATAAAACATCCATGGCCATATGACCATCCATTTCCTAACAACTGTCTTCACTATCTTAGCAGTTTTTGCTAAATGGTGACCTTTTATTGTTTATTATAATTAGAAGTGGTATTTTCCATCTACCTGTAGCAACTGCAATATTAAGAGAGAAAGAAACTCACAGGTTAAATATGTTTTGGAAAAAAAGACCTACAACAAGAGAAGGGGCAGGAAGGGTTGCATAATAATATCAATGCACTACATGCATTTAACGTTAATGTGACTTTACATGTACACCTCGTTAAGCCATTCAAAAATTTTCACTAATTTCATTACATATTTCCAGCCCCCTAACATTTGAAAATTTTGTGAGACAATTTGTTGAAATAATCATCATTTTTTTTTTTCACATACTGACATGTTACTGCTAATCATTTCAAACTCTGGCTAATAGTTTCATATACTTTAAAATTCCAAAATCAAAGTCTACTTATTTTTACTTTCCAGTTCTCAGCTTTAACCTGTAAGGAACCTCTTTTTCCATAGAGAGCTAAATTGACTACTGGGTGGTGATGATTGCATCTGAATTAAACCTGAGGAAGAGTTCTGGGCTCCTTTTAAAATGATCAGTAGGAGAAAACCCTTGTCAATAGCAATGTTGAAATGCAACAGATATATTAAAAATAGAGAGTCCAGAAATATAAAATCTACTTCTCTGATAATTTAATAAAAATAATGATATCCTTAAATTTATTTTCATCAGGAAACATTACTTCATTTTAAAACAAAAGGTGAACAAACAGATTTAACTAGGTACACACTCTGCTATGGTATGTAAATAAATTCCAGGTAGTCTGTGAAGATATAAATATACTAATCTAAATAAATAAATTACCATGAAAATATTTCTTGATGCTATATTTTTCTTTCCATGTTAAACTAGTTTTCACTTTTGAGGTTTTGTTTTGTTTTCCTCTCTTCAAGATTGTCCAAGGCAGTTTCAATAAGAATGTTCAATAATGGTAAACTTTTGGGGGGTAACCAACAGCTGTTTCCAGAGAAATTTATTGGTGGTGCTCCTGCCTGTACCTGATTTTCCTCGCAATCCCTTTGTGCACACTGTAAAATAAACTACATGAACGTGCCACCATGGGGACAATGAAGAGAAACAGGTTCTCCGCCCGCAGTGTTGGAGGAAAAGTCAGCTTGCACCAGCGCCACCCAGCGGTTCTAGAGAAGAATGAGCACACTTCTCCCCAAACAGGGCTTCGGAAGAAGTTTTATAAAATTTCTGAATCGCTTCCTTATTAAGGCACTCAACTTAGCGGCAGCGCGCTTTCATCAGAAGACATCTGCGAATTCAACTGCGGGAGCAAGCGGCCGCCCTTGTAGGCAAACTATGGCTTTCTCAGAGTAGCCTCCAAGTCGTGCCAGAGCTCTCCCGCCAACCCGCTGCACCTCGGCCCTGCTCCGGGTCGGGCTCTCCACAAGGAGAGGCAAGTGCTTCCCAGAGAGGGTGCTTCCAAAGCCTAGAATATCCTGAAATCTTTTCGCCCGCTCCCAGCGCTGAGCGCTGAGCGCCGAGTCCCGGCCTCCTTCGCGGGGCAGTGGATCCGGCTCCGAGGCCCGCCCAAGGCCAGGCCAGGGCCACACCGGGTGGGCGGGCAGCTGAGGAACGGAGGAAGCGCCCCCAGCCCACCGGGCGACTGCCTGGCCCGGCGTCCGTCTCGCCCGGCCTCCCCGGGCACAGGCCCCCAGAGTGTCCCGCCTGCCGTCCGTCTCTCACCTCCTGTGTGTCCGCGTAGTAGCTGTTCCAGTCGCTGCTCTCATGCCCTTCCATCTTCACAGTTCCTAACATCCTGGAGCCACCTTGCCCGATGCAACCATACAGCCCTGTGCTAAGCGACGGGCGGCCGCGAGGCGGGGGGCAGGAAGCCTAGTGGCCGCAGATACCCGAGCGCCCGCGCCCGCCCAGCGCCACCCTAGCGAGGAGGAAGCCAGGCGCTGCGGGGCGCGGCGTGCGCGGCGGCGGCGCGGCGGGCGGGGGCAGGCGGCAGCCGCGGAGCGCGGCGCCCGGGAGCGCCTCCGCGGGAAGTGAGCGGGCGGCCTCTGTGAGACGAGTGCAGTTGAGCTGATGTGGATCTTACGTCGCTGGAGTGCCCACCTCCTCGTCCTCTCCCCATTTGTCCGCGGCACAAAGACGCTCGCACCTACAAAGCCCGAGGTGCACCTGCGAGGCAGTCGCCCGCCAGTCCAGCCGCCGCGCCTCCCGCCCAGCGGCGCCGCCGCCGCGCGCTCCCCCTGAGCCCCCTCCCCCAGGACCCCCTCCCCCCAACCCAGCCCTCACTTTGTTTGCAAAGCAGCGTAATTGGTTTAAGCCCGGAGACTGGGGGAAGAGGGAAATGGGGTGGGGGTGGGGTGTAACCCCCTTTGGAAGAGGAAAAAAGAAAAATAGGTTGGGCGGGCGAGCTAGCGAGGATTCCCGATAGGACCCGCGCAGCCTGAGAAAGGCTGAGGGCGTTGGCGTTGGAGCCCAGGCTTGCGGGGCAGTTGCTGGCTAAATGACCCAGGGTCGCTCCACAGGGGGACCTACCCCCTTTCAGATGCCGGGGCAGCACCCGGTCCCACGGCCCTCCTGCTCTTCGGCCCGCTTCCAGCCCCCACCCTCTTGATTCCTGACCTAAAGTACAACCCCGGGAGACAGGAGAACTCACTCCCCGCCCCTCCGACTTCAGGCTAGAAAAAGGAAAAAGTCCCACTTTTGCCCGGTCACTAGGAACCCGGCCATCTGAGTCAGCCGAGCCGAGTGACGTTAGGCCGATCCGGGCTGCTGGCTAGCAGAGTGGAGACGCTGCCACGAAACCCGTACCTGCGGCTAAGAGCGGGTGAGTCATAACACTGTTTTATACCTTTATGACATAACTTTTTTTTTTTCCGCCTCGGTCCGCTCTACTCCCCTTGTCATCTGTAGCAATCATAAAGAGGAAGAAACTGAGAACAGATGTCTGTGTGATAGGACTGGCGGACCTGAGTCAGGCCGTCCTCCCTCTGCCCAGCTCCTCCTCCCACCCCCCTTCCGCAGCCTTGGGGACTGAGCAGGAGGCGACCGTCCGGTTTCTGATAGGGAAAGGTCAGGGGGAGGGGACAGCTTCCTAAATCAGCGCGTTAGCTGGGAGAGCCTGGGCGCCGGTGCGGGAATGCAACTACTCGGCTAGAGAGGTGCCAGGCCCAAACCAGCGGTGGTCTGCGGCGGTGCCTGGACCTATCTCTGGCTTGAAGGGGCCGGGCTAGGACACCACGCACTCGTTTGGTTAATAATTGGTTCGGACATCGGTGGGAAGTTCTCTTCCTAGCAAAGTCGCTTGGCTCCTATGAGGCCCTGGGTAGTGGATAGCCCAAAAGTCCTGAGGAGTACCTACTAAAGTGGGTAATAGGAGCTGAGTTGGTGATAGGTTGCGAGATGGTGCATGAGTGAGTTTGTGAGTGTGTGTGTGTGTGTGTGTGTGTGTGTGTGAGAGAGAGAGAGAGAGAGAGAGAGAGTTAGTTTAGTGTGGCCATGTGTTTCTGAGTGAGTCATACACTCTGTAGGAGCCCTGGGTTTTTTTTTTTTTAGGTAGCAGTACAATAAAATATTTCTAAAATGACTAAGAATCCACAAAATATTTTTAAATGTTATCAATCTCATTTTGAGAATTGTGTTTTAACTTGTCTTCCAAACAGATACCTCGCCCCCCCAGCCCCCAGTAAGTGCTTTGTTCTTTTAAATCTTTCTTCCTTGAAATCTGGCAACAGAATCAAGTTAAATCCTTGAACCAAACAAAACTTACATCAGCAGGGGAGCAGGAGAGGGTGAAGATGTGCAGTTAAGGAAATAAAAAAAGATAAAAGTATTGGATTACAATTCTTTTTTTTTTTTATCTTAACAAAAAGGGGGGACATCACATTGTAAGGAAAGGAATGAGTGAAATTAAGTCCACCGGAGATCAGAAGAGCGGGAGCCCTCCCTAAATTCAGCCTGCCTCTGTGACTGGAAGTCAGCCCCATCAATTTGTTTAAATGTATCTGCAAATGTGTGGGTCTGCACATATTTCCCATCAGCAGCAGAACCTTAGTTCCATTTGTAAAGAACACGGATGCTTAGCTTCCTCGCCAGATTGGGGAGAGAGGGGGGAAGCTTTCTGTACTAATGAGCTTTCTTGTTCCTTCCTCGGTGATACTCCAACGCCCTCTTGGCATGACGAGGGTATTTTTCTATGGGTAGTGACAACTTAGTACTAACAGCTTTTCTGGTGCACAAGAAGCCAGCGTTTTAAGGAGGGGAAACTGCTATCACTTTAAAGGGGGTCAATGAAAGGAATCAAGCATTTCCCCTCTTTTAGCCTATTTGCCAAAATCCCACTAGGAAGTCAGTTTAAGAAAAAAATCAAGCCATAGCAAGATGGTCAAAGCGAAATTTCTCCAGAGCTTCCTCGATGCCTGGGGTAAAGGGTGGACTTGATCCAGCTTGGGAGTTCCAAGGGGCCGCAGTCCGAGGAATTACCGCGATCACAGCGCCTCCTGTCGTGGGGAGAGAAGGTTGAATCCTTCTGCTCGTGCCCCTAAACCAGCTTCACCAGCGGAGACTGGAACCTCGCAGTCTTCCCTTGGCCAGAGATTTTGGTTCACACAGCGACTACCCAAGCCTAAAAGGAAAGGTGGCAGCTCGGTTAGCTCCCAGTTTCTCCCCATCTCAGTGGCGGTATTCCGAGACACCTAACAAATTTAGGAGGTGAAGGTTTAGTGTACCCAGATACCAACCAATCATTGCCCCACGGTTTCAAAGGGAATCACCTGGACCATGCCGGATCTTTGATTTGGAAAATGAACAACAAATAAACAAATACCACAAAGCTGCTGCCTCCTGGTTGCTGGCTAGACAGCAGCCAGGTGACACATCTGGCTGCTACAGCCTGATGGTTTCCAACCTCTTCTCCCCAAAAGGCCCTGTCTTTACATTTTGCAGAAGACTGCTGCTCTTTCCCGAGAACTAGACCTGTTTTTAGCCTTGGGGAGCCACGAGGGCAGCCACATGGCGGCTTCTGGGGAGTCCCAGGCCGAACCCAGGCAAGAACGGGTCTGCAGGAGCCTTGGGCGGCCCAGGGACGGGGGAAGGTAGGCTACTCAGGCAGAAAAGCCGGGGCGGTCAAGACAGTGAGGTTTGGGGGTACTCCTGGTGCCCCGGGGAGAGGAAGCGGCTCCACTCTTCCCGGAAGCTGAGCCCTGGGGGTCCACTCCTTGCACCACCTCGCAGTGGAAGCCGGCAGCACACCGTCCCTCCGCCAAACTCGGCAGAGACCTCCGCTTCCCTTTCCAGCATTACGTGGCTGGGAGCCCCTTCCACAGGTCTTCACCGGGGCAGGGAGAAGCAGAGGGCGACGGCGGAGAGAGACGAATGAAAGGCCGGGGACAGGCGCCTCTGGCCCAGCCACTGCCTGGGGGCAGCGTTGGGGTCCTTCCCTTTTAGCTGGACCGCAGAGTGGGCAGAAAACAGGGCCCGGGGCGGCGGGGCTCTGCTGTGGCCCCTGGAACCTTTCGAGGACTTTTCGCTCCGGTGTTCCCTAGTCTGCCCCCTTTCCCCGCCGACCCTCTCCCCCACGGGGTTTGTGCGCAGGTCTCGCCGCTTTGGGCCCAGTCACCCTCAGGGCAGGGTGGTCCGAGCTCCTCCTCAGGCCACCCAGTTAAGAAACTTAAATCCTTCGCTTACGGTGAAGAATCGGAGGCAATGAAACTAAGACCTGTTGTCCTCAGGCGGTTTAAAGCCAACCGGACTGGGACCCTGGATCAGTGTAGGACTGAGGAAGGCCTGGGACGCTGGAGGCAACTGTTTGCCCTGGCGTGTGCCCGGCCTACGCTAACCAAGGTGCGTGCGGGAGCTGGGGTAGGGCCGGCTCCGCGAGGGGCGGACCCCGGCCGCCCGCAGCCTCCCGCCCACGCCCGCGGAGGTGCGGCGCCGCGGCCTTCGGGCCCCACCGCTGCCCCGGCCAGTCTGAGGCGCTGGGGCCAGGAGGGGAACACGGAGCCCCTGCTCCTTCGCTGCCTCTTTCTTTTTCCCTTTCCTTTTTCCTTCTTTCCTCGTACCTGCCTTTCTCTGACCTTTCTGCTACCGTTAAATGATTCATTACGAAATAAACTCACAACTCACACGGCATCCGACCCTCAGGAGGGAGGGGCCCCGAGACCCCCTAACTGGCTCTGTCCAGCGGTTCTTTGTGAAGAAGTCTAAGGTTTCCGGCCTCACCTTTGGCCACTGTCGGTGTGTGTGGACCAATACATACACACATGTAGGGCTTCCACTTTACTACAAAAATTTCAATGTAACATTTTAATCCCAATTCTTTTACCACTGCGTTTGTCCCTTCCCCTACTGCTCCCGGAGCCGCCGTGGGATTTCTGAGCTGCCCAGGGCGCGGGCCTGGCTCACCCACAGCCGGATGTTGGAGCCGGAGCTGCTGTTCACCCCTGGCCTCACCCTCGGGCGACAAAAACGGTCCCACTGGCCCTGAACGAGCATCGACTTGCCAAAATCAACTTGCATTTTCATGTATTCAAATGAAAAAGATTGGAAAGGACCATGTGCCCTCCAGGGCAATCACTAGCCTTGGAAGGAAGGAGTAAGCATCCCACGGGTCCCCGCAGAGAACGGGAACCTCTATCCCTGGAGGACCGGGTATCAGACCCGGCGCCCCTGCCCAGACCTGGGTCCTCGTGGACATTGACCATCTCCAGGAAGCTGTGTTCCCCGAGTTATCGACTGCTTTATTCACATCGGTCGGTGCCAGCTCAAGAAGTGCCCAGTCCCAGATTGCCTCTCCTCACCCCTGTGCACTCCTGGAACCCTGTCTCTGCTCAGGGGTTCCCATAATTTCCTCTGGCTACTTGAAAACCTCTGGGGTTGAGGGTCCTAAGGGAGGGATTGGAAATGCACACCTCAGACAGAGTTGGAAAATTAG